GGCTGGTCCTGGGAGGGGCTGAGGGTGCAGCAAGCGCTGGGGCCCCAGGGCCCACGCAGGCGGGGCCGGCACTTACAAAGCAGCTGAGCATGGAGCAGGAGACGCGGGCGGTCAGGCTCATGGTCGCGGGAGGTCTGGGCCAGCGCACATGTCCCCGGAGCCGCTGCGCTGCCCGATAGCCCCGGGCGCTCGCCGCATCCCGACTGCGGAGCCCGCCAGGTGCAGCCGCGGCGGCCAGGAGGCTAGCGCGCCGGCGGCGGGGCCTCGGCGCGACTCCGGCTTGCCTCTCCCCTCCTCTCCACAATGGAGCGAGCCCAGCTCCGCCCCTCGGCACGAGCGCGAAAGGGAGGGGAGGCAAGCGGAGGGAGCGCCCGAAACCGCGCTGGGAAGGCGGGGGCGGGTCGAGTTCTCGAGACCCGCCCACAGGCGCAGGCTCCTCCCTCCCTGCAGCCTCTCTGCCGCGTGGGAGGGCGTCCTCTGGGGACTTCTAAGGGCTTTCGGGAGCCTACGTTGCAGGACAGTCCCCAGACCGCGTGAAAGAGGAAGGCGAGACGCCTACATCTTCTCACTTCCCATCTTCCCAGGTGAGCCACCCCACATCCCTCTTCACGAATCCGGCCCTGCGCCCCGCCCCCCTCCGCCTCTGAGTTCCCCCCGTGCCGGTTCTGAATTCCCAGGTTGAGGCTCGCCTACCTACGCCTCATGCCCTTTCCAGTTTGAAGGCTTCGATGTTTCCCTCCAAAACCACCACCCATCGTACCCCTGTCCATCAGTGTCCTCCAATCCCCCGACCTCACTAAATCCCACTCCCTCTTTGCTCCTTAGAATGGATACTGGGCTGGTGCTACTTTGATCATTACACACTCCTGAAAGAGAGATTCTCTTGAGTGTTTTATTCCAAGGCCCCTGCCCAACCCTACTCCTACTCCATCTCTCCTTGTTTTGCATCCTCTAATTTCTGGGTAAGAAAGTCTTTCTTGGAAGAGAAAGAATTTCTTAGGTTGACAAAGAGCTGGAACTGTGGACTACAGAAGCTGTGCGAAAACAAAACCTGAAACCCAAGGGAAAGGGCATGGTAGGAGCTGGGTAGTGGGCCAGGGAATAAGGAGCAGTGACAAGCAACCCAAAATGTCACCAAGAGTCACAGAAGGAGCTGGCTGGAACGCCACACTTCTTGTGCCTGGTAGCTTTCAGAAACCAAAGCATTAGTTTGGATTTGGGTTTCAAACTTTATCTCACTAAAACCTTTCAACTCCCCAAGAAGTAAGCCTTATCCTGTTTTACTGGTGAGAGTTTCTGGTTTAGAATGAAAGTATGCAGTTACAGTTAATGGAAAATATAGGGGATCATTATAACCACTCCCACCACACCCAGAGATATTCTGGGCACCTTGAGGGTGCTGTCCTGCTATATGTCCAGTCACTGTTGCCTGTTAACTGACAGCAGCACCTTGGAGCTGGAGAAGCCCCACAGTTTTGATGAAGTCACTCCTGATACAGCTCCCACAATATTCAAGGACCCCACTAAGAAACCCAAGGGTCTTGAGATAAAGAAGGCATGGCTTCCAGACCATAAGAGAGAGCTTCTTCCAGGGATGCAAAAGAAGGATCATTATCAAAGGCTAAGAGAGCCAGTGGTAGTGTGAGGAAGGCATGGCGTAACACATGCAGAAAAAGACCTCTAGAGACTTCCTGTCCCAGCCCCGTATATTAGCTGAAAGCAGACGAACCTGTTTAAGATTTGAACAGAGTAGCCTGGAGCTCAAGGTCCAGGAGAGGCGGAGAAGCTTCATGGAGAAAGACACAAGAATTACAGAAAACACGAAAGTCCGAAGAAAGAGAGAGTACTCACCATTCTACCGTGGTGAGGGTTCTGGCTGCCTGCTTCTCACTGTAAGGAGACAGAGAAACATCAAAGTACAGAACACCATTAACATCACCATAGAATCAACAAATGCCGTATATACTCCTGAACTTTTTCAACAACTCTTGTTCTCCTTCCTCACAGAGAATCCAGCCTCTCCACAAGTCAGCATGCCAGACAGAGGCAATGGGAGCTACGTGGGGAGAAAGCAACAAGTGATTCTGTAGGGTATGAAATCAGCGACAAAGTCCTGGAGCAAGAATGAGTATTATCCAAGATTATGCAGCAGAAATCAAGAGTCCTGATTCCCAGGCCCAGAAGGAGAAGTAGAAAACACTCCAAACCCTATTCATTGTGGGAGAATAAAAGAACTGCCAACTCTGAAGAGACGGAGGCTCCTCAATTAGGACTCACTTCTGGCCCTTATGGGTACATGAAACCACAAGAATGCTCTGCTAGCCTCTGAGTCTGGAAGTAGCACCCATCTGACCTGTTTACTAGGGGCAGAGTCCAGACCAGAGGACAAGAGGGAGGGGACCACAACCTGTGATCAGAAGGCAGCAGGGTTGGACAGGTCCTGCTGAGTATACCTAACACTAAGTGGGGTGCAGGTTAGTGAGAAGAGGCCACAAAACAGGGATAGAATCGGACCAGCCCCGGCCTCAGAGTCAGTACCTATCAAGTGGGCACGAGCAACAAATTTCAGGATGGGCCTCCTTGGCCCACTTAGGGAGTGAGGCCCAGGTTTCACTGACACTTTCTTTCATGCCTGCTATCTGAGCTCGGGCAGTCCAGTAGTACTCCCCCGCCGTGCCTTCAAGGGTGCACGGATAAAAGCCTCCATCTGTGCTTCTGCCCACCTCCCTGAACACAGCCCACGCTTCCTCATGGGGGAGCCAGCAAGCGGCAAGGCAAAGGTGCTGCCTCACCGCCCACTGGCACGCAGCCTCAGGGAAATGGAGGGAGAAACACGGACCAAGCCTGGGAGGCCCAGGGTTCCTGGGCCTAAGGGATCTGGCCCTGGGAGGGGGGGCGGGCCAGGCTGGCAGGGGAGCCCAGGTGCCCAGGTTCTAGGGGCGGAGCCTAAAGGCCCGGAGGCGGAGCCCAAATGACAGAGGGCGGGGCTCACGAAAACTGGTGGGGTCGGGGCGGGGCCGGGCAAGACGCGGTCTTTGCGGTTCCCAGACTGGCAGTGCACAGGGCACGGTGACTCACCCAGGCGGCGTCCGCCCGACCCTCCGAGGCCGCGCTCTCACCACTTCCGTCTCCTGCAGCTGCTGAGGCCGCGCAGCTAAGACCCCACAACGGTGCCCCTCTCCGCAACCAATCACATCCCTCGTCTGCGCTCACCCTGGCCAATCGCCACACCAAGTCCCGCCCTGCCTCCATCACGTAGCCACCGCCCCCACTCTTGACGCTGCTCATTGGTCAAATTGGGCAGACGCCCTCCCAACCTTTAGCCTATCGGGGGCCGGAAGACCAGACTGTACCTGGAGGAGGAGGTGAAGCGCTGGAGAAGAGACGCGACCAATGGGAAATCACAGCGCGTCCTTGCGGCAGCCAATGGGAGAACAGCAGGAGGGGGGCAGCCGGTTAAGGCTCCAGGGGCCGGAAGTGGGAGAGGCCTGACGCCTACTGGCGGCGCAATGGAGGCGGGGCCTGGTAGGGGCACAGGCCTTTACAGCTACTTCCGGTGACGAACCGTCCTTGGGAATATTTCTCAAAAAGATCCCCCGTGGTACCGTAGTTTATCCATTTCCCCTTTTGGTTTCGCTGCTGTGTTCCTGTCCTAAAGCCGGAAAAGGCGAAAAGACCACGCAGGCTAGGAGAGGAAGGAGGGCTCGGCCTGGGGCTCTGTCTCGGTTTTCTCCGACAGGCGGCAGGAGGATTTTCCCTCTTCTGCGTCGTGACGGATTTCTCCGACCCTCACTTTTCATCGGCAAAAGGACCCTGCAGTCCTTCATGACCTGCATGGTTCTGTCAGTCCTGGGTAAAGCTCTCATGTGAGGGATCGGAAACCTGGATCTGAAATTGCCACTAGCTAGCTGCCATCTCCTAGTCCGTAAAGGAAGTGGGGAATAGGACTCTCCCAAAACCAAGCTCTGTGTTCTGCCCTTCCTCTTCCTGGGAGCCAGAGCAGACAGTACGACACCGGGTGGCCGCTGGAGGGCGCCAGGTGGCCCCAGGATACCACAGCCCTGACAGAAACGGAGAACAATTGATTCAGATACTTAACAGATCTGCAGACAGAGTTTGCAGTGGGCCGTGAATACTGCTGCCGCCGCCTTTATTTTTACTTTTTTTAGAGAGAGAGAGAGAGAGAGAGAGGCATTGATTCGTTGTTCCACTTACTTACACATTCATTGGTTGGTTCTTGCATGTGCCCTGACTGGAACTGAACACGCAACTTTGGTGTATCTGGAATGACGCTCTAACCAACTGAGCTACCTTGCCAGAACCTGGGCCTGAATGCTTTAATGCCCGTCCCCAGAGCCAAAATGTTTTAACATGTCTATAAAACATCGGGACTTTTACGACAGTAAATTCCAGGAAAAGAAACATTTTCCTGTGTCCACAGCCTTATGTTCAGGGTCTAGAACAGTCTGCAACCTGGAAGATGCCTAATAAATTTGTTAAATATTGAACACTTTCAGAGCAGTGACTACTTTATTCATTCCCAGCATTTACTGTAGTGTTTGGTGATTGCAAAGGTTTCAACGTTTGTTCAATGTTCTATCGCAGGCTTTCTAGAGTGCATATCCCTTAATTATACATATCCCTTCCCCCAAATCAGGGGAAACAAGAAGTCAGGAGGCTGCATGCAGCTAATACCATGAAGGGCAGATATCAAATCCCAAACTTCCATAGAACTGAATGTCCTGTATGGGGAAAAAATGAAGAGTCCCAGGCCCCAGATGCTAGAGGCAGGATAGGTATGGTGAGAAAAAGGAGAGGCCAGTCTGGATTCTATGCAAGGATTGAACCCTGTCATGGAAGAGAAAACTTTCTCCACTCCCCCCTTCCTTATAGAAGCTGTAAAGACCCTCCTCAAGCAGCCTTTCAAAACTGAGTCCTATGATCTTCTTGATCTCCAAGAGGTGGTAAGGATACAGACAGCAACACCAGACGCCACCTATGTATTTGTTAAACTTTATTTCCTCTGAGTCTCTGGGGAGGCAGCAGGGATGTAAGGCGATGTGGCAGTAGCTGCAGGGGCCTGAGCAGAGCTGGTGCTGGGAGGGTCTGGCAAGGGCAAGAAGTGGAGATTTAAATATCCTGGGCTGAAAGCCAGCTAATGGGTCTCCTTCATCTGTCTTTGGATTTTGTGCAGCATCTCCTGCATCCGCCGCAGCTGCAACAGGCACATGCATCAAAGTAGGTACTTTCAGAGAGCCCTATAACATTAGGGAAGTGTCCCCAAGCTCTAATCCCTTGACCCAGGGCCTTGGTAGTCCTGGGGTGTGATGGAGACCCTAGGTAAAATAACTAATCCAGGTCTCAGATATGCACCAGGGCCAGGGATCCCCCTGTTCCCAGATACTGAGGTTTATGATCAAGCAGCAGACCTCCCAGGCTGTCAACCCCTATCACCCAATACTGCTCTCACCTCCTCATCTTTCTCTCGGATCAGCCTCTCAGTTTCTGGATCTGCCCCTGGTGGGACAGCAGGGATGGGGAAGTCGGTACCACTCTCTCGAGTCAGTTTGCTGAGGGAGAGGGGAAAGGGGAAAGGGGGGTTGGTAAGCCTAGGGGGACCCCCGTACCCACTTGGATTGAGCCCAGGGACTGTAAAAGAAAAGGGAAAAGGAAGGGTTTGGTCTCACCCAAGGCTGTGCTTGGGACTGATCCCCCTGCCTGCTGTGTCCTGGCTTTTGATCATACTTGCGATTCCGTTCTTTCACCACCAGGCGGGTCATGCTCTGGATACACTGTGCCCGGTAATTCTCATAATGTGTCTCCCGCGTCACATCCTTCAAGTCCTGCATGTGAGTACGCACCAGCATTGTCCTCAGCTTCACAAAGTCGCAGTGCCCTGGGTTTTCCACTGCATAGCAAGGCTAGGGGTCAGCCAGGGGCGTCGGTAGGGCAGAGTCACTGAGGGCAAGGAAGTACCCCAGTCACAAGCTCAGAGCTTTACCTTCCACGATGCCCCAAGGGTAGAGACGGCCCCGGACTCGTCGCCCTCTGGCCTCTACCACAGTGTTGCTGCCAATTACAGCAAATGGGATGCTCTCCTGGAAAAAGTTCGGAGTGTCTGTCAACATCCCCCATTCTCACCTGTTCTTCCCACCTATGTCTTCATCTTCTCTGCTTCGCTCTAGGAAACCGGGGTCCTCTCCCACCCCAGAGAACCCACCCTTGTATAGAATTCTCCTTCTTTCTTTTGCCCAGAAGAAACAAAATGGAAAAGGGATGCCCTGGGGTGGCCCCACCTTTAGGGCTTGGTCCTGTAATTTGAAGTCCTCATCCTCATCAGAGTCACAGTCTGGGAACTGGTAGACCTTGATTCCAAAGTGCTCTATCTCCTCCCGGATCTGGCAAACACACGAGGGGCCCAAAGTTCTGGGGACCCCATTCTTTCCAGAAGCCCACCTGCCCCCGCCCCGCACCAGCTCCCCTCACTTTGCGTTTCTTGCGCTCCACTTCAGGAGGTGTCAGTGTGTCCGCCTTAGCCAAGATAGGCACAATGTTGACCCGCTGATGCAGGGCCTTCATGAATTCAACATCCAATGGCCGGAGCCTGGGGAACAGGAATCTGTGACCACCTGCTTGTGGCAGCCCTGCCCCTGGTGCTCTCGGCCTGTTCCCTTGGCAGCACCCGGTGGTGTCAGGAGCCTCAGGCTCGGACCATACCCGTGGCCGAAGGGTGAGATGAAGTACAGGCAGCAGTGCACCCTGTTGTCTTGGATGTTCTTGCGGTTCAGGCCACTCTCATCTCGGAAATACTGCTCAAACTGCTGGTCGATGTATTCTGCCACCGGCTTCCAGCTGGGGCAGGGACAGACAAGCAGAGAAACTGTGGGAGTAGGGGCTGCCTAGTGAGCTCTGGGACTGCAGAGTAGCACCCCTCCCTGAGCAGTGTTTCCAAGGCCTTGCTATTCCCTGGCTTGCTTCATTACATCTTCAGGGAGATACGTGAGTGGGACATGGGTGCATCTCACATGTCCTGATAGAAAACCAGACTAAGCACATAGACAGAGTTCAAGAAATACTAGTTGGACAAGAGGAAGAGAGCCCAGGTGACCAAACAAAGCAGTAAGAATAGCAAGGTGCCTGCAGGTGAACACCAGTTGGGGGAAGCCAAGGCAGCCCTAAGTCAGGTTCATGGTCCAGCTTCAGAGCCTTTGTTCATATGGTTCTGCCCTCTCCACCCTTCCCATTCCATCCTTCAAGACCATATCCAAGAACCAACCCTTCCACCAGGTCTCCTTTGCACCAATGCACACTGCTCTCCCCTTCTCTTTGCCACAGAGTGAGAGAGATAAGAGTTTTTGAATATATATTATTATACAGAGAGACATACATATATAATCTCACTGTGTGGTAAAGAGAAGGGGAGTATATATGAATTTATATGCATATATATACATACGCACATATATATATTTTCAAGACCTTCAATTTTCAAGTCCTTTGCTCTTCTGTTGTCTAGTTGAATCCTCACTGACAGATGCCCTGATAAGTGGACATTCTGAGCACCATCATTTCATTTTATACACGAAGGAACTAAATCCAAAGCAGCTAAGAGATTTAATCCAGATCATTTTGGGTAGGAAATTTTCTCTTCTCCTGCATCCCTGGCCTTCTGATTCTCAGCTCAGTGTGTTTATCACTACACTGCCTGACCCACTTACTAACTTGTTACCCAACTGACACACATATTTGGGAACTATTGCTCCCCACTCCCCAACTCCTCCTGCCACTGGACTGTAAGCCTTTCAGGGACACGGATCATTCATACTTGTTCTGCATCCCTTAAAATGTCCAGCACAGGCTGGACACCTAGTATATGCTCAATAAATTCCTGCTGGTTGACTAAATGAGTATATGTGGAGGAGCACAGTAAACTGTGAGATGGCAGGCACATAAAATATTATTGTTGTGGCAGGTAAGAGGAGCTAAGTAGATTGACTGAAGGAGGAGATGATACAGGAGGAACCAGGTGCTGACTGGAGCTAGAGTTTGCAGGGCAAGCCCAGTTTGCTGAGACACATCTCTAGAGCAGGAAAGGTGATGACGGCAGGGAGGCCACCTCAATCCATCAGGAATATTTGTGGATACTGTGAAGCATGTACAGGCACAGTGCTGGGGCAAGAATGTAAGAAATGACCCTGCCCTCATGGCTTAGACTATGAAACTGAAGATGAACCAATGTGCTGAGCTGATGTTGTAACGATAAGTCGTGCAATGAAAGTTCAGAACACACAAACCTCTGCAAGGATCTGATTAGTCTGTGAGGCAATTATCCGGGGTCAGCTGCATGGGCATGCGACCTGTGCAGCCACACAGGGCCATGCACTCAGAAGGGCTCACACTTGGTTTGATTCTCTTCTGCGGCCATCTGCAAGTTCTTAACAATGGTGAGTGAGGGGCCCCACATTTTAATTTCTGCACTGGTCCTACAATTGTCATCTTAAAATTCATGAGTGTAATGTAAGCAGTCTTTTATAGTTTTCAATGCACATTGCATGTATCATTTTAGGGGATTTTCAGATCAACTGGGTAAAGTAGTAAGGGCCAGTATTTTTCAGTTGAAAAAACAGGAATGTAGACATTTGCTCAAGATCGTGCAGTTACTAAATGCTGAATCAAGATTTGAACTCTCAGTCTAGAGGTCTTAGCACAACCCCGCCTAACTTCTTCATCAAGGGCACCTCTCTTTCTCCTATTTTTATCAGCCATTATCCACCACATTGACTCACTTAGGTCTGACAACAATCCCTCTAGTAGCTAAATAATCAATCAATCAATCAATCAATCAAAGATGATGGCAGTGGGGAGCAGCGCAGCAAAGCCACCCTTTCTTTCAGCAGGTAGCCTAGAGGGCGCCTGGAGTTTAAACAAAGTTCTACTTTTTTTCCCTTTGTCCCTTCTTTCTCTCCTTCCATTTACCCTTCCATTCACTCTCACCCCTTTAATAACACTTGTTTGTGGCACTTCAAAAGTTGCTGTGAATGGAAAAGGAGGGAGGGTGACATTTATTGAGCACTTACTGTATGTCAGGCTGTGTTCTACATGTTTTCACATGTGTTTGCTTTTTTGAGGCTTTTTTTATTATCCTATGTCCTCACCCCCATTATAGAATTATAGGACAGAGGAACATTAGAGATCACCTGTTTCAGTACTCTCCCTCTCAATTTACAGAGGAGACAGCTTCCAGTGAGAAGCACTGGCATGCTCAAGATCGCAGACCTCTTCCCCCTAACAATCTGGAATAAGTCTGCGCCTATGTGTGCACCTGCGCATGTGTATGGAATGGGTGGTAGGTGGGGAGGCGGCTGGGGTTGTGCTTGGTCAGACATACCACTCTGTGTTGTTGACTGCATCCCCAAAACCTGGTGTGTCCACAATGGTGAGCCGCAGCTTCACGCCCTTCTCTTCTATGTCCACAGCATGTTTAGTGATCTCCACGGTTTGCATGATCCGCTCTGAAGAAGGGGGAAACTGAGACCACGGCAAAGGCAAGGACCTGCCCCATCAGGACAAACCACCCACCCCAACCAGCTTGGCTGTCCAGACTGCCTCATCCACACTGCCCCGCTTCCCACCCCGAGGCTGCCTGGGGGCCTCTTCTCTGGGAACCAGCAAGGAACACATTTCCCAACACAGGAAATGCCGGTGGCTGTTGGCTCTGGCCCCAGCCTCTTGCTGCTCCCTGCTCTTTTCTTGGATTCCTGGAATCCTTTGGGGGTCAGAGACTCACTCAAAGGGCAGGATTCTGGTCCCTGCCCTGCCTCGGCACCCAAATCTTTAGGGAGCTGGCTGGTGGGTTGCCAGGCTAGATAGGCCTATAGAGAGATGTTGTCAGTCTCTCTAGAAGCCATGGTTTCCTACATGCCAGGCAGGACCCCACCTCCCCAGGCTCTGGAGAGAGTGTGTTTTCCCAAGCCAGTCTGCGTGACTGTCTTCATGCTCCCCGCAACCTTCCTTACCTTCAGCACTGAGGAGTTTCCGGTCTCGGTACAGATCAGTGAGGAAGAGGCTATTGACAAGAGTGGATTTTCCCAGGCCAGACTCTCCTGACAGGGGGGAGAGAACAGAAGATCTAGAGCCAAGAGGCAACCCCACTAGACCAAGGTGTGAGGGGAGCAGCTTCTCATTTAATTGGGAAGAGACTAATCAAACCATAGCATTTCAGAGCTGGAAGGAAGCAGGTGGAACAGCTTGTCCAGGTTTCTCATCTGAATGTGGCCCAGAGAGGGTAAGAGATTGCCCAAGTTTCCCCAGAAAAAGGCAAATACAAGAAACCTATTGGCCAAGTGTTCTTTGCACCACTCTACCCCATAGGCACATTTTTGGGTACCCATGGCAAGTAGCTATTTTGCAAAAAATGATAGCAGGTTGCTTCTTTCTCCTTCCCTACCTATACCTCCTCCCCAAATACATGCCATCCCCACCTGAAACACCCCAGCCCAGTCCAGCCCTGCCCCTGCTCTACCTGCCACCATGAGGGTAAAGTCAAAGCCTTTCTTCACGGACTTTCGGTGAACTTGATTGGGGAGAGTCGCAAAGCCCACATATTCCTTGTCATCCTAGTGGACAGGGAGTCAGAGTGTATCAGGGTGAGAGGCAGGGGGGTCCCAGGACCCAATACCAGCCTTCTGCTTCTCTCCTAGGTCTTTGTCTAGCCTTAGAGGAGCAGGGGCAGACTCTGTGGTCCCATCTCGGGCCACCAGTTGGGCTCCTATTCTTGCTGATACTGTCAGTTTTCAATGCACATCAGGGCCAACACACAGAGCTGGGGCCAACGAAGGACGGAGAGAAGCCCCAGATCAACATGCAGGAACAGGTGCACACATGCACATACACACGTGCACCTCCACAGGCACATACTCCAGCTCTCTCTGCTCCCGCCCTGGGTCTTCCTGCACCAGCCCCCTGACAAGTAAGGACAGGGCTGGTGGCTCTACCTCAGAGGAATCATAGGGATCAAGCTTGCCCCATGGACTGCGGGGCCGGGCTGAGGGGCTGAGAGGGGCTGAGGCACAGAAGTATTGCTGGCTGTCAGAGGGCTGGGGCCACAAGGGGGATCTGAACTCCAGGTCATTCTGGTAGAGGTCTGGGGCCTGGGGCGTTGGCTCCGGAACTTGGGGCCTGGACACCCAGGTCTTGGCCTCTGGTTGGTGGCAGCTCTCATTTCCTGGGAAATCCTTCCCGAACTTGTTCAGTTCTGCATCATCCGTGTCCTCCAGGAAGCGCTTGATCTGGGGGTTGGGGGTTGGGGGTTGGGGGTGGGGGCAGGTGGCAGGAAGGGAAGAATGAAGGAGGCAGACAGGAGAAGGCAGGAGGGAGAGAGGAAAGCGCTGGCGGTTAGAAGGAGAAGAAACTGCACTAGCAGCCAAGTCAGAGGAAGTGTTCACCATCCCTCCCTCACCTGCTTGCACACAGGTCCCCCAGGTGCCAGGAGAGGCCCCAAGGTCCAGGAGCAGCCCTGGGCAGTCCCGAAGCCTAGCAACGGCTCTTGGGAACTGAGTAGCTCCAGTCCTGATTGCCCCCAGTCAACACTTCATCATCAGAGAGGCCACGGTACTGGTTGAGGCTGCCCTCCCAGAGGATCTGACCAAGCCAGGGCCCAGGGACTGCCTCAAAGGCCAGAAAGTCAGATTGAATGAGGGGGAGTGGATAGAGACATTAGAGCTGAGAGAAGAATGTGGCTCAGGATTCAAGGAGAGTGTTGAGAGTCAGAAGGCGGCAGAGCAGGAGGGAGGGAAAAGGGAGCTGCCAGCAGGGGGCTCCATGCCTCCTGCCACTGCAGGTCAGGGAGCTCTGGGACCCGGGTGCAGCCTCCACTGGGAGTGCTCACTGTCAGGGCTCACTGCTCAGAGCTCAGTAGGGCTGACCTGACATCCCTTACTCCAGACAGTGGGCCACACCAGAGCCTGCACCTAGGCCCCGGGGAGAACGGTAAACCTGGCAGTGGATGTGTGTGTGGGTGTGGGGGATCTAAGAAGGACCAGGTGGCGTAGAATGGTAGGAAACTCAGCCCCCAGAGCTGCTGACAGCCCCCAACTGTGGGGACATATAGCGGAAGCACCCCTCAGTTTGAGCCCTAACCCCTCACCCCCTCTGCCTGGAGTTGGCCTTTAGTTAGTAACGCTGGAGGGGATCTGGCCTGAACTGGGAACCACAGGGGTAGTAGGCAGAATGGCTGGCTCCTCTCTGGAGAATGGCTCCATCCCACCTCCAGCTAGGAAGAGAGGCCACTACCCTCACTCTCGCCCTCAGCTTTAGACCCAAAAGTTTCCTCTCTCCTTTGGGGTCAGCCCCCTTTGTCGAGTGCCTGGCAGTGCTGGGCTCAGCTCTGCCTCACAATAGCCATGTGCCACCCCCGGACAATGGACAAGGGCCGACTTCAGAGGCTGACTCACCCTCTGGGGATGGCCAACCAGTGGGGGCTACCCTGGGCCACTGTGGAGTCCCAGCCAGGGTCAGGGAAGGTAGGATGGCCACGGTCTTCCTGCAGCTCCTGGTCTTACAGAGGAAAGAGCTGAGGGAGGGCGGACATGCACACTCCCAGGTTTATGCCTGGGAAAGGGACTAAAATAGGGAGACTAGTGGGAAACCTCCCTTTGGAGCTACTTCCAGGCTGTTGCCTCTCCAGTCGCCACACCTGCTTATACACATAACCTCCAGGGGTTGCCTGGAGAGGGGAGGGAAAGATGCCCTTTAGCCTGACACTGGAACCAGGATGTGGGGACTCAGTGACCAGAAGAGGTTGCCCTGAGGCAAGCCTGACCTTTGTAGGGTCCAGTGGGGTCACACTACATCCCAGTTTATATTTGTTGTTCAATGATTGTGTCCCTTTCCATTCTCAAAAGTGTCCCAGTGTGGATGATGAATCATATGGCAATAGAGAAGGGATGGGGCTGAGGGACAGCAGGTCTTGTTTTCTGGCAGCTAAAGAGTCTGGGGAATTCCAGAAAATCCTGCCTCTCTGTACAACACCAAAGTGGCCCAGCAGTTGGTCTGGGCATCAGGCTAAGGTGGGGAGAGGACAGTGCTCCACCTGGCTTCCCCAGGGGCACTGAGCAGGGAAGGGAGAGGGAAGGCGCTGAGGGAGACCCCCACCCCACAGTCCTCCAGCAGAGCCACCAGGAAGCCAGCGCCATTCTCTCCCTGCCAGCCCTGGCTGGCTGCTCGTCAGCATGGAGGGGCCCTCAGGGGCTCTAGAGAAGTGGTCAGGATACCAGGGTCCTCACCTCCCGCCTGTCCTTCCCCACCCCCAGCTCTGCCAGTGACCAAATCATTTTCTGACTTTGAGCCCCAATCCCAGCCAAGGCAAGGGAAAGACAGATCAGGCCCACCCATTTCCCAGAGCAGCACCTTACCCCAGCTTCAGTGCTGTCCTCAGGGACAGAACTGCCTTGGCATCCCACTGAACGGTCCATGTCCCACGCTTCACACTCCCTGTCAGCAAGCTCTAGGTCTAATTTTATCTCTCAGGCAAAGTTCCTCATACACAGAAACAGCCGGGTCTTGATGCTCTTGTTGTAATCCGGAGTCCTGGCTTGCTCCTTTCCCTTTCTATTTGACCCCCCCCCCCCGCCCCCCGTCTCTGTCAGGGGCCAAAAAAGCCTGTGGAATGTCCTTCCCCACCCCCTCCTCCTCCCTTTCCCTTGGCTCCCACCATCCAAGGACAGCTCAGCTGCAGCAAGATCACTGGGTTTCTCTGCAGTTCCCTCCTCCTCTGATTGGCTGCCCCACAACGCCTGCCCGCTGCCTACCCCTGACTACCCCGGTGGGCACAGCACCAGCCTCCCAAGTCTGTCTGCGGCACAGGTTCCTGATCCACTTGGTCTCTCCTGGTAACCCCCAAGGGCACTGAGACCCGTCAGAGGTTGCAAGCTCTCCCCAAGGTGACCTGTCCCATCTGTACACAGGGCTGGGCTACTCAGGACACTACACTCAAAGGATTCCAATCTCTCTCTTTCCCCTGAACTTTAAGTGGTGCTGAAGTAAGGTGGGATGTCCTATAATCCTCTTGTCATAGGTTCTCATGGAAGTGGATCCAGTTTTCTTCCCAAGCAGAGACGTGCTTTCCCTCTGTATTTTCCCAGCAGAGAACTCCATTATCTTCAGAAATCTGCCCCTAGATTTCCTTGCCGAGAGCCCAGAGGGACTCCTCCCACCCAAGGATACCTGAACTCTTAACTCATGGGACCTGTATCACTTCCGCCACTTGCAGAGTAAGTGGAGGAGCTGCTAGCACTTGGTCTCTGAGGGGCCAGAGTTCAGGCCAACAGGAGGCTGGCATCCCAGTGGCTTCAGAGTTGCCAATTAGGTGGCAGATAAATTGAGGGGCCTGGTTGGGAGTGTGCAGATGATGCGCTTGACTGAGTCAGGAGCCCAGTGTTTCTGGTTTGTCCAGAAGCACCTTTCGCAATTTTGAATATTATTTTAATTTCAAGGCCTTAATGCCCAATTGTGAATGGCTCTTCCTTGACTCCCAGGAAAGCTAGGGAGAGAAAGCACTCCCACAGGACAGATAACTCATACTGCTCTGAACCCGTGGAGGGTGCATCACAAGTTCCAGGATGGTTATTAATGTGGGCCTGTTGTTCTTTTTGCATGCAAATTAAAACCCCTGGGGCTCCTGGGCTGGGGAGATCTCTCCACAATCTCCTTTCAAAAAGAGACCATCACAGAAGAGTCTGGCCTAACAGGAACCAGTGTCTAAGGACAGGGCTGGCTTGAGGGCAGGGCCCCGAGGCTGAGGACTCTGGTGGTGGTGGGATGTCTTTAATTCAAGAGGAACAGGCAGGCCTCAGCCAAGCTGAAAACTCCAAGACCTCAGCTGAACTGAACTTAGTGTGTGGCAGAAAAAGCCCCTCTTGGCCTCTCTGCTGGGCTTGGCACTGGGGACAATCAGTGCTCCCCCAGGCTTCCATCCCTGGGACAATCCGCCTGTCCATCCCACGTGGGGAGAAGGATGGAGGCAGGAATAAAGACAGGCACCATTTGGCCTCTCCCAGGAACCCCCTTTTGGGGAAGGTCACAGGGTTACCAAGACTTCCTGGCCAAGACTTGGGCCTCAGCCTGGATACAGCTTGAGAGACAAGAGCCCAAGAGGTTGGCCTTTCCAGACACAGACACTTCTGATGCCACCAGGCCTAGGCAGCTCCCTCTGGAGGCTGCCCACAGCCAACAGCCTGCCCCACAGGCCGGTCGCCGAGCTCCTCCTGCTGTAAGCAGCCTGTGCCTCCCAGTGCAGAGGGCAAAGGCAGGGGGGCTGGGGAGGAGAAGCTGGCACGGGGCCTGGGGGTCCTGACACCTGGCATAGTGTGTTGGTGGCGGGCTCTGGCAACAATGGTAGGAGAAGAGCTGGCTGAACATCAAAACTTCCTACCTCGGGGCCTCCAGAGAGCCTAGCTGGGGTTACTGCTTCTCCTCCCACTTCAGGCAGGTGCTAGGAATGAGTTCCCCCCACCTCCCACCACTGCAGAGGGGCCTGGTTTGGGGCGGGCGCGGGGGAGGGGGGCGGGGGGGCAGTATGGGATGCTGCAGGAAGAAGCTTCCCCATGGTTCCTCTCTCAGAGCCAAAGAGATATAGCTGATCCCACCGAACTGATGGCGAACTGGGCTTTCCTCTCTCAGGGGTCCCTGGGCAGACAGCCCTGTGGGGAAGGCCCAGGTGCTGCCCTTTGCCAGGCTGTTTAAAGGAGGACGGACCCAAGCATCTTGCCATCTCTCTTGGGGAGGAAGGCACTGTTTGTGAGCCTCCTCTGTTTTCCGAAGGAAGTTTGTGCTGGCCCCTGAGCTTAAAGTAGGTAGATGAGGAGGGGTCACCTAAGTAACAGCTGGGCGGAGACCCTCGCTGCCACCCCACTCACCGCTGACGCGCCTTCGCCCTCCCCAGCACGACATTCCGCCCATCAGCCGGCGCACTCCAAACCCAGCACGGACCCACCCCTTCGTCCAAGAACACGGGCTGCACCCCAGGGGTCGAGGCCCGCCTCATAGCTGCTCAGATCGTAAATAGAAACTTGGAACGGCGACAGAGCAGTGCCTGCCTGTGCCCAGGGCCGGCGACAGGGCGACAGCGCCTCCGGCCCGGCACCTCCAGGGCTGCGGCGCCGCGGGTCCCCGCGAGCCACCCGGGAACGGCAGGCCCTGCGCGCCCCGGCCCTGCCCCTCGCCCCCAACCCCCGCCCCCGGCCTTACCATGGCTGCAGCCCGGGCAGGGCCGGCTCTGCCTGGACAGCGC